CAGCTCGGGAAACAGGTAGGGCAGTATAAGTCGGCCTAGAGCAGCAGTGGCAGGGGAGGAGTAACGAGCGACTACAGCGCCGTACAGTGCTTTAGCAGTCTTGTGCTGGCCAAAGTGAGCGCGTTCGGCTAACGGCAGGTGGTTGCGAACGGCTAAGCGAGCAGCAGCGTCACGTGTAAGCCACTGTGAGCGAGTCGCACTGTCAGCTGTGGCGGGAGGGGTGAGAGAGGCTCCAGGCGTGTGGTCAAACAACCAAACGCTTGTCTCTAGAAACGCTTTGTAGGTACAGCTGTAAGTCATCGAGCCACGTATCGAACTGGATCGGACGGCCTTTATGATCAAAGGTGAGAACACTAAGAGAAGCCATAGCGGGCAGAGCAGGGTGGCGCGCGACCAGCAAGGCAGCACGCAGGCAGGGCGGCGCGCGAGCACTAGGGAAGCGCGCATGTCAGGGAGAGGCGGCGCTCGGCTAGGGAAGAGCGGCGCGCGGCAAGGGCAGGGCAGTGCAATGGCAGGGCAGGGCGGCGGCCAGCAGGGCGGCGCGTGGGCAGGGCAGGGCGGTGCGGCTGCCAGCAGGGCGGCGCGCGGGCAGCAGGGCGTCGGCCAGCAGGGCGGCGCGCGGGCAGCTGGGCACCGGCCAGCAGGGCGACGTGCAGCAGGGCGGGCAGCAGCAGGGCGGCACGAGCAGCAGGGTGGTGCGCAGCAGGGCGGTGCGGGCAGCAGGGCGGCGGCCAGCAGGGAGGCGCGCGGGCAGAGCAGGGCGACGCGTAGGCAGAGCAGGGCGGCGCGGCTGCCAGCAGTGCGCTGCGCGGGCAGGGCAGGGCGACGCGACGGCCAGCAGGGCGACGCGTCAGGCAGGGCAGGGCGACGCGTCAGGCAGGGCAGGGCGACGCGACAGCCAGCAGGGCGGCGCGACAGGCAGGGCAGGGCGATGCGACTAGTGGGGCAGCGCTATGTGGTGGGCCCAAAAAAAAAATGGTCGTGGAACAGGACCTGCTCTGAAACCATGTCAGAATACTGAACGAGGATGAATGCATTGAACAGAAAGTTGGTACAAGTACTAACCCTAATTAGGTTGTACCCCTTATGGGCTACCCCACAACAACCTACACAATATAAGCATTATAACATTTTGACACAACCCGGCTACGACAAGCGAGGAAACGACGACGATTGGAACCGCCGGCCTCGCACAGATGCTTTAGCGACTCACCAGCCTGGAGCAACAACTCCAAACATTGCGGAATGGCGACGCGGGAACATCTTCCCAACCCACTCAACCAGCCTCAAATGGCCAAAATACTGCCCCGCATACCTTCTCCCTCGACACAAATGGCTCAACACCCAAGACTCCCCGTCCCAGCGAAGAAGCAATTCTCTTTGCGCAATCAAGGTTTTTGAGCATGTCTAAAATAAAGGCAAGTGTGCGTTTTGATGGCAGAGACTTCTATACGTGGAGCTTCGAGCTGGAACTGCTACTGCAAAATGCACACATATTTCACTAATTCAACGGGAGCTACTCAGGACCCGCTGAGGACACTGTTGACGCCCGGGCACAGTACTACAATGAGTCGTTGATGGCGTACGGTGTCCTCTTGCGGAATATGTCGCCGGCGGAGCAGTTGAGCATCCGCTCATACAAAACATCACCTGCCCCAGCCCTCGACCCTTGCGCTACCTGAACGGCGTTTACCAACCGAAGGATTCGGTTTTGTCGAGCCGCCTGCTCCAGCAGCTACTGGAGACAAGAATGGCCCCAGGGGAGAAGGCCAACAGTTACATCAATCGCTGTCGGAGCTTACGCGATCAAATCGCGAAGTTGGGAAGCAACATTTCCGAAGAAATCTTCGTGAACATTGTGCTTCAAGGGCTCGGCCCAAAGTGGCGGCCCTACAAGGTGCTTCTCCGACAGCAGGGGGTCATCTCGGAGGCGGCCCTATGCGCCGCCCTTCTCGTCGAACAAAGGGATATGGATCAGCAGCGACCAGCGCCGCGACGAGATAGGGAACGCCTCGCCTTCTACGCCGACAACGCGGAGGAGCGACGGCCGCGGCGCCTTTACTGCAAGATTTGCAGAAATTTCGGGCACCTGGCAGATCCATGCAAATTCCTATCTCGCCCTCGTCAGACCGATCCGAGCAACTGGTCCGGCCGACAAGACGCACGGCACGATACGCGTCCAGCCCAGGGGCATCAACCCCCACCGCGCAACGTGAACCCAACGGTTAAGCATCAGCAGCAGCAGCCACCGACTACGCCCGTCCGCAACGTCATGGGCAACATGACAATGACGAGCGTATCTCGTCGTCCCCGTGCGCGCTCACCGTCACCTGAGCCAGCACGACACCCAATCGGAGCGTGCTCGAACAACAATCCGTTCAGCACGCGCCACGACTTCACCGATGACAATGAACAAGATTGGAATCTCCCAGTCCCGCTGCTTGAAAGCCACCCGCACGTACCCGATACGCGGGCGGCACCGATCGATTGGATCGCGCGCAAACAGTTTCTAAAGGTTGACACACCACACATCGTTACTCCGCGACTGGCGCTGCTCGCACATAACGACAACAGGCGCTACAACACGTGGTACCTGGACAGCTGCTGTGGGCAGCACATGGTGGGCTCCGAGCGTTACATATCCAACGCCGTCTCCACCCCCACCATGACCTATGTCACCGTGGCAAACAACACACGCCTGCGCGCAAGCGTGCAAGGAATCGTTGTGCTCAAGGCCCGAGGGAGCAGGACGCACATCACGCTGAACGACGTGCTGATCGTGCAGAATCTACACTTCAATCTACTCTCGGCGGCGCAACTCATGGACTGCGGGGTCGACCTCAGCATCGACCCCGAGAGACGTGACATTCTGCTCCACTTCACGATGCTGAACAAGACGCGCAAGCAGATCGGACAAGCGCACTCCGAAAACAACGTCTACATCCTTGACTTCAGTATTCCCGACTGCAGCGGTGATTCCCAGGAGCTCATCGACCTCGTCCCCCTGCGCTTGGAGCACATTCACCACCGCAACTGGAAACACCCAGACGGAAGACCGTAGGTGCCGCACCACCCTCATCTGCGCGAGTTGGCACTACATGACCCTGACCCTGACGGCACCTGCAGAGATTGCCACACACCCACTACCTCAACGAGCACGATTGCCGGCCGTGGCCTTGCCGCCATCGCCGAAGCAGAGCAGGAAGCACTGCCTGGAGAAGGACTGTCTCACCTGGAGCTCGAGACCGCCACGCGCGTCGTCTTCGGAACGGAGGAACATCCCCTCCCTGGACCTGCATCACAACATCTTCGGGGTATGTTGCGTGGCGTTGGTTTCGGCACCTTCGATGCGCACGGATTCCCACGACCCTACACGAAGGAGAAATTTCTGGAAATCTACTCTCACCAGCGCGACTCTACGAAGAAGCTTACCATGGCACAAGAAGAGGAACTGGCACGACGCGAAGCGGAAGAGCTTCGCCAACGGACTCAAGCCTGGCAGCACGCGACCAGCTGAAGTCAAGATAGTTTTGGTGAGGAAGGAGATGTTGACTGCTGCTGGTGGAGGCTTCAAGGCTCTCAAGAATGGATCAGCGGCACAAGGCACAGAGCAGCAGGATGGGGTTGCAAGTGTGACATGTGGGTTGCTGCAAGTGCCTTCAAGATCAATGGTGGGATCAGGAGAGAGGAAGGCGCGGCGGGGGAGAGCAGGAGTGAGGAACGTCCCTTCAAGGGTACTGGCTGCTCGTCCTGATGGGTGTCTCGTGGAAGGGTCAGCAGCACAACGGTGTACCAGGCAGGAGGGTCGGGTAGGAAGTGCGATATCTGGAGCAAAGGAAGTAGGGTCAAGAGCGTTGGTTGCTATTCCTGGTAAAGCTCTCAGGGAAGGTTCAGCATTGGCAGCACCAAGAAAGAAGCAGCAGGGAAGAGTTGCAGGGATGGGATCTGGAGTGAGGGAAGCATCTTCATGCACGCTGGTTGTTCTTCTTGGTGGAGCTCTCAGGGAAGGTTCAGCATCAGCAGCACTGAGAACGAGACAGCAGGAAAAGGTATTATGCAGGAGATTAGGAGCTTGCAGAGGTGTTTCAAGGATGGCACGGGCAGCGGCAATAAGGCCTCCATGGAGGCCCTAAGGGATGCTGTAGGGACATTTCCTGTAAGGGAAATTGCTTATGGTAGTAGTAGCTCTGTACAATTAGTTTTATGTTTTAATTATAATGGCCATTGTTCAGTTCAGTTACAGTTGTACCGTACATGCCTGGCATCATGGCAAAGATCTTGTCTGCTCATTTTGGAAACAAGAACTGGCAATTCTAGATGCTACTATGGTACATCTAATTTGACCATGGGCTGGCTTTATGGCCTCTGAGAGCCAGGCTTCACATTCCAGTCAGCACATTTGTATGCACCTATGTCGACATTCTGTTTTACTAGATGGTGAAAAAAATTGCCATGCCACCCTTCGCTGCCACAACTGGCAAGACAATTCAGGTAGGTAGGTGAATAACAGGACTATTGAGCAGGAAGCATGAACCTGCACATGGAAAGAAAATGGAAAGACAAGATGGGGATGATGATGGTAAGGAACTAGGTAAGCAGCAGAACAATGACAACAAAACGAGAGGAGTAGCACAGGAAAATGACAGAATTATCAACCTCGAACAGATTCTCCATTTTTCTCCTTGAACCCCCAGCCTGCACTCCCATTCTTCTCCCATGGTTCATGAACTCATGGCCACGTGGCAAAAATGTACCAATGACATGGAGGGCTCAGCATGGATGAGCATGGATGAGCATGGCTGAGCATGGATGAGCATGGATGATGGCAGTTGGACCGGCAGGTGATGAGCTTGTGATGGTCAAGACGTCACTAATGCGCTCAGCACAGCCACCATGACAGGTTATGACTTAGCTGATGCAGCCCCTCTGGGCGAGAATCAAATGATGATCGGCCAGCAGCAGGCTGTGATTTGAGTGGACTCAAAGCAGGGCACTTCGACTCAAAACATGCCCAGCAGCAGGCCAGACAGCAGGGATGGATGGACAGGAGGGGAGGGAGGTGTGAGAAACGAGAGGAGGGAAGCGGAGAGCTGGACAGGGAGAGAACTACCTGAATCTTATCAGCTCAAGATTATCAGCGCACACCAGACGGTCTTCAGATCACACCTGACGGGCTTCAAAACACACCTGACGGTCTTCAAAACACACCTGACGGTCTTCAAATCACACCTGACGGTCTTCAAATCACACCTGACGGTCTTCAAATCACACCTGACGGTCTTCAAATCACACCTGAAGGTCATCAAATCACACCTGAAGGTCATCAAAGCACACCTGAAGGTCTTCATATCACACCTGAAGGTCTTCAAATCACACCTGAAGGTCTTCAAATCACACCTGAAGGTCATCAGCAGGGATGGAGCCGAGGCGAGTCAGGGCTTCCCTCAGGTCACTCGCAGATTTGATTTCCTCATTGCCCTGAGGGGAAGCGGGGTGAAGCTTAAATGAACGCACCTGACCTGAGCACACCTGGAGCTCATCAGAGCACACCCCCCAACCATGAACACCTGAAGCTGATGGAAACTCGTCTATAACCCTTGAAACCCGCCTGAGGCTCTTGAAGACTTACCTGAGGCTCTTGAAAACTCACCTGAGGCTCGTAAAAACTCACCTGAAGCTCATGAAAGCTCACCTGAAGCTCATGAAAGCTCACCTGAGGCTCATGAAAGCTCATCTGAGGCTCATGAAAGCTCACCTGAGGCTCAAGAAAGCTCACCTGAGGCTCATGAAAGCTCACCTGAGGCTCAAGAAAGCTCACCTGAGCCTCATGAAAGCTCACCTGAGGCTCATGAAAGCTCACCTGAAGCTCATGAAAGCTCACCTGAGGCTCATGAAAGCTCACCTGAGGCTCATGAAAGCTCACCTGAGGCTCATGAAAGCTCACCTGAGGCTCATGAAAGCTCACCTGAAGCTCATGAAAGCTCACCTGAGGCTCATGAAAGCTCACCTGAGGCTCATGAAAGCTCACCTGAGGCTCAAGAAAGCTCACCTGAGGCTCATGAAAGCTCACCTGAGGCTCATGAAAGCTAACCTGAGGCTCATGAAAGCTCACCTGAAGCTCATGAAAGCTCACCTGAGGCTCATGAAAGCTCACCTGAGGCTCATGAAAGCTCACCTGAGGCTCATGAAAGCTCACCTGAGGCTCATGAAAGCTCACCTGAGGCTCATGAAAGCTCACCTGAGGCTCAAGAAAGCTCACCTGAGGCTCATGAAAGCTCACCTGAGGCTCAAGAAAGCTCACCTGAGGCTCATGAAAGCTCACCTGAGGCTCATGAAAGCTCACCTGAAGCTCATGAAAGCTCACCTGAGGCTCATGAAAGCTCACCTGAGGCTCATGAAAGCTCACCTGAGGCTCATGAAAGCTCACCTGAGGCTCATGAAAGCTCACCTGAAACTCATGAAAGCTCACCTGAGGCTCATGAAAGCTCATCTGAGGCTCATGAAAGCTCACCTGAGGCTCAAGAAAGCTCACCTGAGGCTCATGAAAGCTCACCTGAGGCTCATGAAAGCTCACCTGAGGCTCATGAAAGCTCAACTGAGGCTCATGAAAGCTCACCTGAGGCTCATGAAAGCTCACCTGAGGCTCATGAAAGCTCACCTGAAGCTCATGAAAGCTCACCTGAGGCTCAAGAAAGCTCACCTGAGGCTCATGAAAGCTCACCTGAGGCTCATGAAAGCTCACCTGAAGCTCATGAAAGCTCACCTGAGGCTCATGAAAGCTCACCTGAGGCTCATGAAAGCTCACCTGAGGCTCATGAAAGCTCACCTGAGGCTCATGAAAGCTCACCTGAAGCTCATGAAAGCTCACCTGAGGCTCATGAAAGCTCATCTGAGGCTCATGAAAGCTCACCTGAGGCTCAAGAAAGCTCACCTGAGGCTCATGAAAGCTCACCTGAGGCTCATGAAAGCTCACCTGAGGCTCATGAAAGCTCACCTGAAGCTCATGAAAGCTCACCTGAGGCTCATGAAAGCTCACCTGAGGCTCATGAAAGCTCACCTGAGGCTCATGAAAGCTCACCTGAGGCTCATGAAAGCTCACCTGAGGCTCATGAAAGCTCACCTGAGGCTCATGAAAGCTCACCTGAGGCTCAAGAAAGCTCACCTGAGGCTCATGAAAGCTCACCTGAAGCTCATGAAAGCTCACCTGAGGCTCATGAAAGCTCACCTGAGGCTCATGAAAGCTCACCTGAGGCTCATGAAAGCTCACCTGAGGCTCATGAAAGCTCACCTGAGGCTCATGAAAGCTCACCTGAGGCTCATGAAAGCTCACCTGAGGCTCATGAAAGCTCACCTGAGGCTCATGAAAGCTCACCTGAGGCTCATGAAAGCTCACCTGAGGCTCATGAAAGCTCACCTGAGGCTCATGAAAGCTCACCTGAGGCTCATGAAAGCTCACCTGAGGCTCATGAAAGCTCACCTGAGGCTCATGAAAGCTCACCTGAGGCTCATGAAAGCTCACCTGAAGCTCATGAATGCTCACCTGAGGCTCATGAAAGCTCACCTGAGGCTCATGAAAGCTCACCTGAGGCTCATGAAAGCTCACCTGAGGCTCATGAAAGCTCACCTGAGGCTCATGAAAGCTCACCTGAGGCTCATGAAAGCTCACCTGAAGCTCATGAAAGCTCACCTGAGGCTCATGAAAGCTCACCTGAGGCTCATGAAAGCTCACCTGAGGCTCATGAAAGCTCATCTGAGGCTCATGAAAGCTCACCTGAGGCTCATGAAAGCTCACCTGAGGCTCATGAAAGCTCACCTGAGGCTCATGAAAGCTCACCTGAGGCTCATGAAAGCTCACCTGAGGCTCATGAAAGCTCACCTGAGGCTCATGAAAGCTCACCTGAGGCTCATGAAAGCTCACCTGAGGCTCATGAAAGTTCACCTGAGGCTCATGAAAGCTCACCTGAGGCTCATGAAAGCTCACCTGAGGCTCATGAAAGCTCACCTGAGGCTCATGAAAGCTCACCTGAGGCTCATGAAAGCTCACCTGAGGCTCATGAAAGCTCACCTGAGGCTCATGAAAGCTCACCTGAGGCTCATAAAAGCTCACCTGAGGCTCATGAAAGCTCAACTGAGGCTCATGAATGCTCACCTGAGGCTCATGAAAGCTCACCTGAGGCTCATGAAAGCTCACCTGAAGCTCATGAAAGCTCACCTGAGGCTCATGAAAGCTCACCTGAGGCTCATGAAAGCTCACCTGAGGCTCATGAAAGCTCACCTGAGGCTCAGGAAAGCTCACCTGAGGCTCATGAAAGCTCACCTGAGGCTCATGAAAGCTCACCTGAGGCTCATGAAAGCTCACCTGAGGCTCATGAAAGCTCACCTGAGGCTCATGAAAGCTCAACTGAGGCTCATGAAAGCTCACCTGAGGCTCATGAAAGCTCACCTGAGGCTCATGAAAGCTCACCTGAAGCTCATGAAAGCTCACCTGAGGCTCATGAAAGCTCACCTGAGGCTCATGAAAGCTCACCTGAGGCTCGTGAGAACTTACGTGAAGCTCATCAAAATTCACCTGAAGCTAACTAGCAGGAATAAATTCGAGGCGATTCAGGGCTTCCCTCAGGACACTTGCTGATTTATCAGCCGATAGCAACCCTCTGCTGCTGCCGCCAGCCTGCCAGCACTGTCACCTGCAGCAAGTCAAGTCAGAAAAGAGGTGTCGCCTTGCATGTGAGGCGTCGACTCAGGAGGAGGCATCACCAGGACGAACGGTTGCCTTTGCTGCTGCCAGCCCACTGACAATTGCACTGTGAACGGCAGTATTTGCTACTACTGCCAGCCCACTGACAGAGCAGAGCAGAGCAGAGTACGGCTTTTAGCCGGCTAAAAACCTGACTCACGTCACAATCCAGCTCACCTCTGCATTCAACCCTAAACTCTGAACTTCGAGGCACTTGCGGAGGAGAAGCAGTAGATGCACTAGTCCAGGTTGCTACTAGTCCAGGTTGCTACTAGTCCAGGTTGCTACTAGTCCAGGTTGCTACTAGCCCAGGTTGCTACTAGTCCAGGTTGCTACTAGTCCAGGTTGCTACTAGTCCAGGTTGCTACTAGCCCAGGTTGCTCCTAGTCCAGGTTGCTACTGGTCCAGGTTGCTACTAGTCCAGGTTGCTACTAGTCCAGGTTGCTACTGGTCCAGGTGGCTACTAGTCCAGGTCGCTACTAGTCCAGGTCGCTACTAGTCCAGGTCGCTACTAGTCCAGGTCGCTACTAGTCCAGGTCGCTACTAGTCCAGGTTGCTGCTAGTCCAGGTTGCTGCTAGTCCAGGTTGCTACTAGTCCAGGTTGCTACTAGTCCAGGTTGCTACTAGTCAAGGTTGCTACTAGTCCAGGTTGCTACTAGTCCAGGTTGCTACTAGTCCAGGTTGCTACTAGTCCAGGTTGCTACTAGTCCAGGTTGCTACTAGTCCAGGTTGCTACTAGTCCAGGTTGCTACTAGCTAGGCACCTCTTCCACGTGGTAAGAAGGTTCAGTGTACTTTCCACAGAATAGCTTTCCCTACCTGGCTTGGCCTGCAAACAGAAGAGCACTGCGGCTTGTCAAGACAACATGAGCACCATCTCTGATGGATGGGCGTGAGGGGTGTGAGGGGAGTGAGGGGAGTGAGGGGTGTGGGGGGAATGAGGGGAGTGTGGGGAGTGAGGGGAGTGAGGGGAGTGTGGGGAGTGAGGGGAGTGAGGGGAGTGGGGGGAGTGAGGGGAGTGAGGGGAGTGGGGGGAGTGAGGGGAGTGAGGGGAGTGAGGGGAGTGAGGGGAGTGAGGGGAGTCGAAGGAGTGAGGGAAGAGAGGGGAGAGAGGAGGAGAGAGAGAACAACAGGGCGATGAAGAGGCGATTATGGGGTTGTGCAGCAACGCGAGCTTGGTGTATGATGGATGGGCACGAGGGAGTGGGGAAGAGGAAGAGAGCGAGTAACGGAGATGAACAAACAGCTGCAATGCGGGGATTGCGACGGAGAGCAATCACCGTCTCTGATGGATAGGGCGGGTGGCTTGTAGTGAAGAGAAAGGGAGGAGGAAGAGACGGAGGACGGGAGTGAGGAAGAAATGAGGGGAGGCATGAGAGGAAGAGATGGAGTGAGAGGGAGAGAAAGAGTAAGTGAAACACCCGGGCACTTGGGGCGCAGCAGGCGAGGAGATACATTTCGTGAAAGGCCGTAGAAACTTAGAGGAAGAGAGGAACTTTGAAAGGATGAGAGGAAGTGACAGAGGAAAGGAATGAGGAAGAAGAGACGAAAGGATTGAGAAAGAACGGAGGAATCGAGTGAGCGGCAGGGAAGACATAGGTAAAGAGAACGAGGAAAAGATGACACTTAGAGTGCTGCAGGCGAGAATAGGTCGAGGAGCTCCACCTATTCTCCCCTCGATCCGAGTATAAGAGCTGGTATCAGAGCGGGTTATAGTGCGTTTCAAGCATTCAAGAAGGGCCAAGACAAGTTCCTGCATCATGCCGAATGGGGATGGTGAGGCAAGCTCGGGTTCTTCAGTCAGTGCCGAAGTTCCCCAAGTCCAAGCCCTCTTGGAGGCCCTTACACAAGGGCACGTGGTTGCCAGGCCAACGATTGGCCTAAGCGAGGCACAACGGTTCAATGGCAACAACTACAGCACATGGTGACTTAAGTTCATGCGGAGGGCAAGAGAAGTTGATATCTGGCCCTTCTACAAAGAGGACGAGGAGACGGAGGAAGGAGTACCTCCACCTGCAACGGCAACGGCACAAGAAAAGAGGGCATACAAGAAGAAGAGTTTGCAAGCCTTCTTCCAACTGTGTCACTCAGTTTCGGATTCCATCGCTGTGGGGCTGGATCAGTTTGCGGACGACATCAATTCAGCACAACGTGAATGGGCATACATGGAAGCCGTATATATCGGACGGACCGACACGAATCTGACTGTAGTGAGAAAGAAATTGCTGCTGCTCGCAATGGAGCCAATGGAGAAGATAATTGACTACGTGAATCGAGCCAAGAGCTACAACGACGATCTCACAGCAATGGGGGCACCCGAATCGGAGAAGCACATGATGGGATACATCATCAGCGGTCTACCGAAGGAGTGGACAGCAGAGATCGGGATCCTTACCTGTAACACGCCCAAGGATATGACCCAGCTGCTCGAGACCCTCCAGGCGCTTGAGCTGGTCAAATCTGACCTGAAAAGAAGGGAAGCAGTGGCAACGGCAGCAAAGGTCAACAGGCCTGCAAATGTGAATGCAACTGCCTCACCAAGAGATTTTGGCAACTGCTACAACTGCGGGAAGAAGGGGCACAAAGCTGCCGACTGTTATTCCAACCCAAATGGAAGAAACTACAAAGGGAAAGGACTGTGGCAACAAAACAACGATGCAAGGCGTGGAGAAGGCTACAAGGCAAGCGGAGGATTCAATGGAAATTGCAACCATTGCGGCAAATTTGGGCACAAGGCTTCCGATTGCTACCACAACCGAGCTAGCAGAAATTTCCGAGGAAAGGAGCTGCAACAACAAAGGCCAGCAGCAGCAGCGAAGACAAACCTGATGGAGGCACCTGCAGTAGTGGAAGAAACGCCAAAGGTTGACGCCATCCTTGGAGGCGCCCACAAAGCCAACGTTGCTCGAGCATCCGAAGTGTGCCTGCTGTCAAAAGGATTCAAGGAAACGGCTTGGTTTATGGACAATGGGTGTACACAACACATGCCACACCGAGCTGATTGGCTACGCAACTACCGGGAATTCGGAGTACCTTATGTCCTACTCGGGGATGAAGGGAAACTTCAAGTACAAGGAGAAGGGGACCTGATCTTACAGAGTCCCTATGGGGAGCTGAAAATGGACAACGTTCTACTGGTGGAGAAGCTGGTCAAGCACAGAGAAAGCAGGGGAGATTGCAGCAGACACGAGTGCAAGTGATGCTTCGGTGAAAGGAGAGGAGCTGGGAAGAGGGATGCGGATGAAGAAACCGAATCCGATATACCAACAGGTCCTGATGACATGCTGGAAAGACGTGCACACTCACCTCCTCCTCACCTCAACGGCGACAGCGTTGATTACCAAGGAAAGGAGAGAGACTTACAATCTGCCGCAGGAACCCTTGGGCATCAAGGAAGCACTCTCTGGACCATACAAGGAGCAGTGGAAAGCAGCTATACAAGAATATTTGGACACTCTCGCGGAAAGAGGCACTTGGAAACTCGTCCAAATGCCCGAAGGGAGGCATGCCGTTGGCGTCAAGTGGATCTTCAAGATAAAAACAGGGGATAAGGGGCAGCTGGAGAGGTTCAAAGCACGGCTGGTGGCAAAAGGTTACACGCAAGTGGAGGGGATCGACTACACGGAGACATATGCCCCTGTCAGCAAATTGAGTACAGCAAGGACACTCTTCAAGATTGTGGCAGCACGCAACTACATCATGGTTCAACTTGACATCAAGAACGCTTTCCTCTACGGAGAACTCCAAGAAGAAATCTACATGGATCAACCTACAGGGATGGAGGACGGGACTGACAAAAAATGCAAACTGTTGAAAGCGCTCTATGGGCTGAAACAAAGCCCTCGAGAGTGGTACAAGGCTATGGATGCACGCCTGCTCGAAGGAGGTTTCAAGAAAAGTCAGTGTGACAGAGCATTTTACTTGAAGGGGGAAGGGGAGGAAAAAGTCTACCTCCTACTCTACGTCGACGACATCCTAGTGGCTGGAGCTTTGGAGGACAGAGTTGAGGAAGTGTGTGCTCACCTTGCAGCTGTCTTCCAGGTGAAGCAGATCCCGAGAGCCACGTTGTTCCTTGGCATGAACCTGGAGCGGGACCAAGAAGGGAAGAAGCTGCTACTCTACCAAAAGAAGTACATTCATCGGTTGCAAGAAAGGTTTGGAACACGGGACTGCACCAAGGCAGTGACCACTCCGCTCAGCAGCCTGTCAGAGAAGGAAGTCAACCCTGAAGAAGAACTCATCCAATGGGGCGGCAAGGAGCGAGCATTGAAGGCTTACCAGTCACGGGTCGGATCGGTGCCGTCTCTTGTACGCGGGTAGACGTCGCACATGCTGCCAGCTTCTTGGGGCAGAACGTGCTGCAACCAGAAGGCCGCAAGTGGAAGGAGATGCAGCGCACAATCACCTATCTGCAGCAACGGGGAGAAGAGGGGCTACTCTACGAAGGCGGAGAAGAAGCAATGGAGTTAATCGGATATGCTGATGCATCTCATGCATCAGATAAGAAGGACAGAAAGGGAGCTTATGGGTACGTTTTCCTCCTTGGCGGGACAGCAATCACGTGGCAAGGCAAGAAGCTAAACGACATGGCACTCTCAAGCGCGGAAGCGGAATACATGGCGCTATTCTACGCATGTCAAGAAGGAGTGTGGCTTCGGCGTTTACTGCAAGAAATGGGGATACACATTGAAGGACCAACTACCATCAGATCGGACAGCAAATCGTCCATAGCATTGGCGAAAAACGACAACTGGCACGGACGTACCAAGCACATGGACATCAAATACCATTGGGTGCGTGAACAGCTGAAAAAAAAGGCATTTACCTTTGAGTTCGTACGGACAGAAGATCAGGCAGCCGACTTCCTTACTAAGGTCCTTCCGAAGGCTAATTTCGAGCGCTGCAAGTATCTTGTCGGGATGCGTACCCTGCAGGACTTATAGGGGAGCGAGGTGGAGGAACAGTGATTAAGATTTTCAGATCTAGGGCTGGCAGCAGCAAACCACAGGGGAGATTGTTAGAAATGGTTCGCCGCTGCACCGACTCTAGAGCATGGAAACGATAGAACAGGACACTTGGGAAATGCCTTACCTATGGCGGTGGGAGAGAATTAGCTGGAACATAAGTTCTGACGGTGGGAGGAGCTAGCTGACGAGATCGTGACGAGCAGCTGGTGAAAACGAGGGTTTCAGGAGAGAGAGAGGGAAGAACGTTCTCAACCGCCAGAATTTTCCCAACCATTCCGGAGGCAGTGTTCGGTGGAGTTGAAGAAAGTCGGTTTCAACGACGGTTCAGTTTGAATTTCGGTTTTCAACATCGGTTACTGTTACGAAATTCGGTTTCGCGACGAGGTGCGTTACGCGAGGCGCACTTTGAAATTCGGATTCCGTACTGCTTAAATATCATGTTATGTTTTCCTCTTTGTATCAATTTTTCATAGTGAAACTTTCTGTTTGCAACCTGGGTTGGAAAGCAACCTGTTTCTTCAACTTTGGGATTCAGTTTGAAGCCCGCTGCTGCTACTTTCGTGACTCCTAAGTCACGTACTCTCTACGACTGAGTTTAAGAGCTGGTATCAGAGCGGGTTATAGTGCGTTTCAAGCATTCAAGAAGGGCCAAGACAAGTTCCTGCATCATGCCGAATGGGGATGGTGAGGCAAGCTCGGGTTCTTCAGTCAGTGCCGAAGTTCCCCAAGTCCAAGCCCTCTTGGAGGCCCTTACACAAGGGCACGTAGTTGCCAGGCCAACGATTGGCCTAAGCGAGGCACAACGGTTCAATGGCAACAACTACAGCACATGGCGACTTAAGTTCATGCGGAGGGCAAGAGAAGTTGATATCTGGCCCTTCTACAAAGAGGACGAGGAGACGGAGGAAGGAGTACCTCCACCTGCAACGGCAACGGCACAAGAAAAGAGGGCATACAAGAAGAAGAGTTTGCAAGCCTTCTTCCAACTGTGTCACTCAGTTTCGGATTCCATCGCTGTGGGGCTGGATCAGTTTACGGACGACATCAATTCAGCACAACGTGAATGGGCATACATGGAAGCCGTATATATCGGACGGACCGACACGAATCTGACTGTAGTGAGAAAGAAATTGCTGCTGCTCGCAATGGAGCCAATGGAGAAGATAATTGACTACGTGAATCAAGCCAAGAGCTACAACGACGATCTCACAGCAATGGGGGCACCCGAATCGGAGAAGCACATGATGGGATACATCATCAGCAGTCTACCGAAGGAGTG